ATGTACTACTAAATATACTAAATCAGACAAGAAAACAACCTATTTCACTCATTTTGTCACGAGTTACCCCAGGTACCTCTAGACTCCATTTGTTCTGACGTCAAGTTCTTTTGACCTCCAACTAGAAAGACAAATACACAACCCATACCATATAAGTATATGCCAGTATAGACATCACACACGAAACATATGAATTCAGTATAAATATCCATAAACCCGAGTACATGTAGATCGATTGCAATCGATTCGGTTCATCAAACGATTGGTGTCAATCGATAGGATACAATCCGGATTGGATAATTCGAATTGGTAAGTTTGGGTCATCGGTCTATAAGATTTCTCACCTGGTTTACAGTATAAGTCTCATACCTACAGAGTACAAATAACTCTTCATCGGTAACATTCACATGTCATTTTAATTCGGTAAAAATTTCATATCAACGCTCGTCGTCCGATCGAGACGGATCATTGCATTTCAATACAACTTCAATCTGATTTACAATGCGTCGATTTTTAACTCCGAATGACATACGTTCGTAGCCAAATAGTATTACTCACTATAATTCATAGGTTCTATATCAAAAATTTGAGATAGGAACAGGAACATAATTTAATTGTAAAATTTTTGGTATTCACGGAAACGTTACGTGTCGATCGATGAGGGACCATCACTTCATTCTCCATTCAATAGTAAACATTTAGCTACTTCCAACCTACTACCATGTCGATTTTTATGTCGTACCAAATAGTATTTACTCACTATAATTCATACGATTACTATACTAAAAATTGTGATAGGTACTCGAACACAGCAAAAGTAAGGGTCCGGGTGCGTTGTTTGTGTGTGGTTGGGGGTCTAGGGTCGAGAGGATTCTACGACCGGGAGGTGGTTGGACCAGGGACCGTTCTGATCGTCAGCGTCGGACCAGAAACCAGGACCCGGGGTTCGTAGGTTGGTCAACTCCTACCGAGGGTAGTGCGGCCGCGGTTTTGGACGGGTTGACCAGCAGTCTAGATCAGCCGGACGTTACGAACGGTTCGTTGGACCCCGTTTGCCTCGTCGACGCCGGGTCAAGCTCCGTTGGTTCCCACAGGACCTCGTCCACGCCGGTTAAAAATCGTTCTTCGGTTGGGTAGGGTTTACGCCACCCTTTTTTTTTCCGGCCTTGTTTCGCACGGAACGGTGTTCTCCATTGAATCAGTTCACGATTGGTTGTTTGAGCGCCTTTTAGAGGGTCCGGTTTCGCGAGGGTCCACTCTGATGTCGCTTTGTTACCTCTTTTACCTCACGCCTGAAACTCGAGGTGTAGGGACACCGGAGGGTTTACAACTTTTTCGACTAACTATTGGGGTCTTCTGGGATCGAAGAACGGGTCGTACTTCTGGCTGTCTCACCCGGTTGTTAACCAGATAACCTGTTTTTTCGACGTTCGAGTTCCACTTCGGCCGGGGGCTCGCCTCGAAGTTTCGACGACGTCGGGTCAGGGTCCGTCAGGGGCGACACTTTCCTCCGACCTCCTTACTGCCGTTAGAGGTCGAACCACAGCCTCTCACTACTCCTCGGGTCTCCACCTATGATTGTGTCAGGTAGGTTGTAGACTCCGCTTGGTAGGGGTGTTCGCATTCTTTACTGGACCTTTGTTTGGCAGAACGTAAGGTGTACTGTCAGGAATCGGGGCTGCGTTCACACAACCAACAGTGTACGAATGTTCCACTTTACAGTGGTTGCGAGGACGTGGACGTCTTACACGACGTCGGTCAACTTGTACCTGGCGTCGGTGTGCGGTTTGGAAGGCCGGCCCGACCCGTCTTGCGTTCCATTAGCATTCGATTAGCGTTCGACGTTTTCTGCCAAATGAGGAACCACCGCCCGCCCCTCTTCGTAGAGCACCCCCCCTCTGCGTGCCCGAATCCAAGTCTCAAGCCAGGTAAAGGAGAGAGAAAGGAGGGGACCACTGCAACGCGTCACCTCGCCTGAGAACCGTTGTACCCTCGAGTAAGTAAAAACAGAGCAAGATATCCTGTTTAACCTTACCTCTTAAGGAACTTTCAACTTAGACTCTTTTACCGGGTTTCACGGGTTGTCCCGTTTGTTTGTTTGAAATTGAAACTATAGGTTGATTCATTTCAACAAACAAACGGGAAACCCGGTGAACCGGTAAAGAGTCTTAACGTTGAAGTTCTAAGGGTAAGTAAACAGTAATATCTGTTTTTACTTACCTCGGAGTTACACGCGTCTCAGGCGGAGGTTGACTCGTTGCAGTGGTCCCTCTTTCTCTCTCCTTTACCTTGGACTTGAGGGACTTGGATCGGGGCACGCAGGAGGGGGGGTCTATACAGAGGGTCGGGCGGTGGGGTTCTCATTGGCAGGGAAAACCGTTGGGGCGAACCGCTAATCGAATGCTAATTGGCAACGCAAACGTCGCGCTCAACCGACAAACCGACGCCAGTACAAAGTTGACCGGAACGTCGTGTAAGACGTCACGTCCTCGCAACACTGTAAAGTTGGAACATGCGGTCACTGTGTTGTGAACAGCCCGATTTTTCTCAGTACACCTTACTTCTGCAAACAGGTCAGAAGAATGCGAACACCCCTACCAAGCGGCGAGTCTAACAACCTATGCTGACACATCCATGGTGGGAGACCGAGGAGTAGTGAGGAGGCTGGTGGTTCCGACCTCTACGGGCAGGGTAAGAAGCGAGGTGAGAAAAAGTGTCCGCCCTGACGGAACTGCGACCGTCGTCGACTGCGAGGGAGAGCGTGCGACAGTGGAAACTCGACGTTCGAAAAACAGGGGGTTTATCTGGTTTACACCGGGGGTGAGACAGCCAGAAGTACGACCGTTCTTTCGGATCCAGAAGACCCAAATAGTTAGTCGAAAAGTTGTAACTCCGGGGTGTCGCCTTTACACCGTAGTTTCGAGACGTGAGGTAAAAGAGGGGGTTACAAAGCGACATCAGAGGACCTCGCGAAACCGGACCCTCTAAAAAGCGTTTAAAACAACAACGTTAGACTGTTCAGATGGTAGAACACCGTCGCGTTCGCGAACAGCGAGTGGGGTAACCCTACAACCGAAAGAACATTTTACCGGCGTTGGACCGGGTCCTTGTGGGCAACACCAAAACGGAGCTGACCCGCTGTCGAGGCAAACGGGTCCAAGGAACCGTTCGTACCCGTCGCATGTCTGCTGCTGGTTCAACCGTAAACGCCGCGGCCACTATACGGTAGGAGTTGGACCACTACGGGCCCGGGGTCTGGTTGTCTCCGTCCGAGCGCTGGACGATTCAGGACGGTCCGACGTCAAACCACTTCCCGTCGTAGACTCCTCTCGACCTAGGGACCCCACCCAACACAACACGTGACGGACCCTTACTTTTGCTGTGGTTCGAGGTACCTATGCACATATTTTAGTATAGAATCGTATGAATTTAGTGAGTAATACTATTTGGTACGCATAAGAAATCGACATTGTAGTAGGTTTTGAAGTAGTAATGTTACATTTGAATGAGAATGAAGTGATGGTCTCGCATCGATGACACGACGTTTCTTGTGGAATACAAAAATTTTTTACATTAAATTATTGTTCCTGTTCCTATCTCAAATTTTTTATTATAGAACCCGTATGGAATTATAAGTGAGTAAATCTTTTGGTACGAACGTTGTCATTCGGGAGTTTAAAATCGACATGTATCAGATTGAAGTTGTATTTGAATTGGCAATGATCCGTCTCATCGAATCGACCGGCGTTATATGGAAATTTTTACAAATTAAATCGACATTGTTGATGTTACGATGAGGAGTTTATTGTACCTCTGTAGTTATGAGGGCTTTATACTGTAACAGGTGAGATCTTATCGACCGATGACACTACAATCGGAATTATCAGAAGTCGATTGTATCTTCCGATGTGACACCAATCGTTTTGATAACGATCGATTGCAATCCAGATCTACATTACTCAGTGGTTTTATGGATATTATCCTAATTCATATGTTTCTGTGTTGATGTCTAATACTGGCATTATACATTATTAATGTAATGGGGTTGTGTATTTGTCTTTCTAGTGCGAGGGTCAAAAAGAACTTCGACGTCAGACCAAATGGAGTCTAGAGGTACCGCCGAGGTAACTCGTGACAAATGGTGAAATAGGTTGGGTTTTGTCTATTTAGTATATGTTAGTAAGGTACATAACCTTTTTATAAACGTACACAACAAAGATGTATATAACCTTGTGAAAATTCACTATTTTGCATGTGTTGTTTCTACATATATTGGAACACTTTTAGCACCCAGCCATATCAAAATTCAAGAATTGTGTTTTTTGATGCACCAGGGGTGTCCAAACCTTTTTCACCGAGGGCCACATACAGGAAAATATACGAAGGGCTGGGCCGCTCGCTAGAGGTTTATTGCCTCATAAGTTCAGTTACAAGTTAGCAAAATCAATCAAATGTGGGTAAATGATGCTTGTGAGTGTTGGCAGCTCATCCCTTAAAACAGAAGCCTCAGATTGATTATAATAAGGAGAAATAGGAAAGTGTATTTCAAGCTTGTTATGTAAACAGGTCATTGGGCTTTTTTCTTATCAACTAAGATGAGAATGTTTCCAACTTTAATTGACTGAATTTATTTGAGAAGTGGTCTTATTAAAACATGAATACTACTGTGTAATATATTTTTACATTTATATTTAAGAAGAACAATATAAGACAAGCACAAGTTTCATTTGTGGGCCATATTTCATTATACTTTTTTAATTAGCTGAGGGCCGATTCAAAATGGTCCGCGAGCCGCATTTGGCCCCCGGACCGTAGTTTGGACACCCCTGCCTTAACAGCTTGATGTGGACAGCAACGTTATGCATTTCATGTCTGAAAGGGGCTTAAATAAACTAACTCTGAGCGTTCTTCCTCTCTCTCTGGGCCCTCAGGAGAGACGCCCCAGCGGCCTCTCAGGGACCCGGTGAAGGCCAAGGGGGGGGCCAAGAGCCTGGCTTCAGCTGCGTCGGTCCCACAGAAACCCCCGCAGTACGTCTGAGGGGCCGCAGTGTGGAGCGCTGTGCAGGTGACATGAACTCAACACCGCGCCTTTTCATCTCCTCCACCTCCTCCACTGGACTGAGGGGTTTTGGGACCTCGCTGATCGGCGGTTCTTTTGTGTGTTCTTGAAGTATGAAGCAGCTACCGTGACCTTTCTGTCTACGTTGCGTCTCAGGTCCCGAGCCTTCGTCTGAAACATATCGTCTCTGTGGGAAATTGTTCGGATTGTGATCAGCAGCAGTTACGCTGTAACTACGTCATGTTTGTAAATGCACATTTTCTTGTCTTGCCATGTATGTAAATTATCTATTTTAATTTATTAATCTTATTTTCATGTAAAACGATAAAACTCTTCTTAAACAGTTGAACACTTTGGACTTCAAGTAATATATTATTGTTATAGGTTCATCCTAGGGCTGCTCAATTAATCGTATTTTAATCGCAATCACGATTATGGCTTGCAACGATTACGAAAACAACGTAATCGAAATAAAACGATTTTTTTTAAATTATTATTATTATTATTATTTTTTTATTGGTTGTTCAGTTGAATTATATTTAAAGTTCAGGGTAATCAACTGTTAAAAACATACTTTTAAAACATTTTTCTCCAATAAATTGATGTTTTCAAAGTAAATGGATAATCGTTTTTAATAATCGTGATATCAATTATTGACCCAAATAATCGAGATTATGATTTTTACCATAATCGAGCAGCCCTAGTTCATCCTCTGATACTGTGACTGTGTAACTTTAGTTAAGCTTAAACAACTAAAGGACCACGACAAGGAATTGTGGAATATTCAAAGGGCGAACCCCTATGGTCGATTTCTTAATGATTTCTTACTTATTTAACATTTTCTGGGGTTGAGACTCTTCGTGTCACTTTCAAACACATCACACAGTGTGTTGTACGAGTGTCGGCACGCAGAGTCCTCTGTAAAACTGCACATAACAATAAAACACTTGGTTTAAAAGCTACTGGTACCGAAGCTCTGATAATCACAAGAAACCGAAGTGACCTATATAAAAGTCATAGTGAGAAGGTTTTCTGTGTTCAGATTGACTTTGTGATGTCTCTGTTTGACTCTGAGGTCGTTAAGGATATCATTTCCTGTGTGTATGAAGCTGAAGTAGTACTGAATATGACATTTGAAAGATTTCAGTGATTGCATTCCCTTTTTCTCGATGGACATTTCTGGACTTTGCTGCTTCAAGACTTGAACTATAGTTTTAAATAATATTATGTTAGATATATAATAATGTGATGTATGAATGCTTATTTAGAATTATGCATTTGTGATACGGGTGTATCTAGAGATATAAGTACGGAGTAAGAAATGTAAAAACAGAATGGTTTAGATTTTTAATAAAAAAATATAATATATTTTGTTACTCATTCAAAAATATTTTAAACCAACCTTACAAGTTTAGAGTCTGTTGTCTTGTTTTTTCATTGTGAAATTATGCTTTATTAAAATGTGCTAAGTTATTGATTTAAATGTGCCTCTTGAGTTTATCACTTTCTCTGCTGTGACAAAAAGTTGAACTTTGACCTTTCAAACCAGTTACTATTCCAGATCAGTTTCACAGCTGCACAAACAGGAAGCCCTTTAACATCTGAACACAGATCTGCATATTCCCGCTGCTTTGTTGTCTCAGCGCTTCATAAATCATTCACCAGGCAATGATGAGGCCGCGTATGTATAAAACATTTTAATTATATTACAATGAGAGAATACACAATACCTTCATGTGTTTGCCAAAATGTAGCCAGCACCAGGTACACGTGTACACACACTCACACAAAACAAAAAAAAAGAACTTATATATAACATCTTCTGAATGCATATTACACATTCGCTAAAAAGGAACATATTCACAGGTCTCTGGCACAGAACTCTCCCTTCTCTGCACAGTATGTCAGCCCACAACTAACTCCTCTCACCCCCCCTCCACTACAAATACCAGCAAGCCTCTGGGTACAGAAGATGAAAAAAAAAAAAAGGAGAAAAGACAAAAAGGCTGGGGGTCTGGATAGCGGGATGCTGACCTAAAGCCTACAAGTACTTAAAGCTATTCGCCTGAAATCACATTACAAATCATTCTGCATGGAAGGTTTAAAAAGTGACAATTTTTTTTGGCAGGAATAATATTTAATGGAAGTGTCTGTTTATGTAAGAACCACAGCTGAGCAATAGGATGGTGGTTCTGTTTCTGATTTCATCCCACCTCCCACCCTCTCTCTCTCTCTCTCTCTCTCTGCTTGCTGACTTCCCCAAATATCACACTGTGCTTTTGTGCTCTTAGAAAAAACCCAACACGCTGAAGTAAATCTCTGTGCAACAGCAACATGAAAGCAAATATCAAACCTCGCCTGTGCTCGCTCTGATGACTCTTAAATCGTGCTTTAATCTCAAAAGGAGTTTTAATGAAGAGTCCCATAAACATGAACCTTATTTTATAAAGAAAGAGGCAGTAACATATTCTGTTTCCTCTTAAAGGGGCTTTAACCTGATTGAACCGTCTTCATTCATTTATACAATCTCTGGAAATAACTTTTTTTTCAAGGCACATCATTAAAAGATTGTCCATAAACACTATCCATCCAGCATTCAGACTAAATGTTACCGTGTCCAGTCAGCTGTTCAAAGCCCTTCTGAGTGTGCTATGTACATTTTTCAATAATGCCATTTATTATAATCTCATATCTGGCCCTCGTCCCATTCACTCGGTCATGTTTCCGCTGGGAGGTTCTGTGCAAGAGAATCACTTTATGCATTAATCTGGTTCGCTTCGTTGTTCATTTCTGACATTTCTGATACAGTCATGTACAAATCCATTGACATAAATGTAAACTCTTGATGACAAATATTAAAAAAACGTTTTTTAAACTCTAGTTGTTGTTGTTGTTGCCCTCCTGCAGTGTATGGAGAGAGTGCAGATAGGAGGTCATCAAAACAAAAATGTAGAGTTGGTCACCATAAAATGCACCACAGAGTCGAAAGCCAAACCACCTGCTTGCCTTTAAACCCCCCCGCCCACCCCCAGAAAGCACGAGATGGTAATATTGCTGTGTCTCAAGAGGTCCCCTGATCAGCGGGTAACACTTTTACTGGGACGGACCACTGGGAGCGCGGAGGATTACACCTTTAAGCTGCCATCGATTGGATTATTGTATCACTCCCATCCCAGTGACTCCCATTGAACGAACAAATAGTCAACAAAGAACAAAAGTAAAATAACAAAACAAAATAAAAACTTGCTTCAAGCCCAGAAGTTTTGAGCCCCGTTGGTGGCCATTGGGGCGACTGGAAGCTGCCATGGGAGTTTACCAGTGTGTGGTTTTGAAAACATGTTCTGTGACAGAGGCAGCGCTGGCAGACGAGTGGGTCTTTGGGGGTGGGAGGGTTTGTGCCTAAAACAACAGTAGAGAGGAGGGGCTTTATTTCCCAATGGTATTTATAATGAGAATCTTCTCTTCAGTGCCATTGCCTCATGGAAAGTGTTTTGGCATGGTTAAAGGTGGAAAATCTCCACCAAGGGAAGGTGGACAAGAGAAGGGAGGCTGACCTGTAGGGAGCGGGGTGAGGAGGAGGTGTGGGAGCGGAAGGAGGAGGAGGAGGTCTAGGCTCACCAAGGCAGCAGAATGAGCAGCAGGAGAGCACCCAAGGGAGAGGGGCCCCAGTGTATGCAGCTTCCTGCCCACACTCTCCCTTCACAAGGCTGGCCACCCCCACGTCCGTCTGTCTCCTCATATATATTTTACTATCTATATTTTATATAGCATACCGAAGATATACTCGCTCTTGTGTCTTTCATTAGCAAGAGAAATTTATGAAAAATACATAAAATATGTAAGTACACAGAATAATGACTACACTGGCTAACATCACTTGAGGAGCTGTTGCTTCTTTGTTTTTTGTGTTCTGAGTCTTGTAGTTTTTTTTATAGTTTTGGCAGACCTGGCATGGGTGGACAGGTCTTTTTTGATTCAGTGTTGAATGGCCAAGCCTCTAAAAGACTGGCCAGCTGAGGGCCTAAGATATTAAATGGTTCAGACGAGCGAACAGAAGGCGCCCCTTCCGTCATCGTGACTATGCGTGATAAGTACAAGGCCTGCAGACGAGCTATACAGATAGCAGAAAGAAAAAGAACAATTAGTCTTTGTAAAGAAATTAAAACTGAAATGTTGCATTAGTGTATAAGCTAAAGCAAACCCTCTGGCAGAGACAACGTCTTAGAGCTGGCCCCTTTTTTTTTTTTTCTTTACATTTTTTTCTCCTCGCAAATTCACAGCTTTGACTTGGTAATCAGAAAGACAGAGCCAAACATACGTCGCACCACCTGAACACTGTTGAAAAAAAGCAACAAGCTGTAAGACGGAATGGGAATTCTCGGTACAATGAGCGTTGTAGCACAGAGAGGATCCTGTTAGTGAACAAGAAGAAGGAGAATTGCTCCTTTTCCGGCTGTCCCGATCTCAGTTAGCACGCCACTGCGTTGAACAAGGTAAAAGTCTCCGTGACGTTCCATGTCCTCCAGAATTTGTTAAACACTCAGAGGAAGCAACCGTCTCTCCGTATTATTGCTACAATCATTTCCGCTACTGAAGAAGAATCACAAGATTTTGAAAATCAATGTTTAAGGAAAGAGTTTTTAGTAATGAGGCAACTCCGTTGCAATTTGACTTAGTAGTCCGCTCCACACCATAGGGGGTATAGTGTGAGTGGTCCAGAGTGGAGTAGTGTGAGGCAGCCGACCGCAGCAGGAGAGACAGAACTGTGCGTCTATATAGGCAATAATGATTCATCTGCTAACAGCTCGTGTACGTTGTCTTTGCCGCAGAACTCAGCCCTGTTTTGAAGATGCATGCATTTGTGTGGCAGACGAGCTATGAAAACGTCTATTTTGTGACG